GAAATTCGCTTCGACCAATCAGAATCATCTGGGTAGTGACGCGTCATCGGTATTGAATATTTCCGCGCCGTTTCCTCAGACGCCATTTCGCGGGGAAACCAGTGCTGACGTCGCGGAATGCCAGCTGTTTTCTTAGGCTGGTTGTCCCGTTGCGATGTCTGGCTGCTCCAATGATTAGATATGTTGGGTCAAAATTAACTCCAACAAATTTGTAGTTAGAGTTTCGTGCGCTAGCACAATCGCGTACACCGTGTGTATTTGACTAGGTCATCGAGATCGTCAGCTCCATTTTTTGCAGTTTATTCACGCTTAACACAGTTTTTTCGCATTCCAGTATATCTAGTAAATGAGTGTTTATTAGCCAGTTATGTTATTTTGCACCATTTTTGCTGTTGGTCCTTTATTCCTTGTCTGCGATCCATTCCACCAAAAATTCTGGCAAGTTTGAAAACCAAAACCAAGTCGTGAAAGGTTTTTAGAAAAACTGAAATCGCCTAATTTTTGAAAGCGAAACTTTGAACCAAAATTTCTCCTAAAATAATTGGGTTCAGCGGAAAATTCCAGGAAATTTTGGAAAAATAAGACCAGAAACAAACTGTTCCATTTCAGGCATTGAGCTTTGGAAGTTTCAAAATTGGATATTTTGTGGAGTGGGTCACGCCCTTTCTTTGTTTCTACGCTTTGTGCTGAGAAAAAAGCACCTTTCGTCAACCTGATAAGGCGTGTTTTCAGCGATAATGTTACTTATAAATTTTTTTTGAAAGTCTCCTATCACCAGTATGTCTGAGAAAGCCTTAACGTGGGTCACAGTTAAGCTATTAATAATGAATTAAGTCTGTGTTAATATGTTTGGTTGTCAGTCGATAAACAATTTATATTATATAATACGATCGTCCCTGTGATTTGGAGTAATTATATTGGGCAGTTATAAAGCTTGAATTTCTGAATTGTAAATATTAAAACTAAGCTGTAAATAAGAAATAGGTAAATATAATTCCTTGCTTATATATATTTAAAGAGATGTACATCTTAAGACATCAATACCTAGGAAAATTGATGTTTTGTTGTGTAAAACGTTTCTGTTAGAGGGGTCTAATCCTAGGCTGAAATGGGAATTGTGTGGTGAAATATTCCATAGACTTGTAGAGTTTATGATTTGAATGTCCTCCCTTGATCCCGCCATTGAAAATTTGATTAGGTCATAAAACACAAAAACACGTGGTGGAATTCGAGAAACAGTAGTCCCAAACTTATTTGCTGAACATGCATGTTATTTCAACCTGATGTGAGTCGCAAATCTATGTACAGACAAACTTTAATAAATTTACAAATTTATCAATTAAGCATGCTTTATTATTAAGCACATTCCATTGCCAGTAGTTGCATGTTCCTTTTCAGCCTAAAAAGAAACCCGCGATTTAAAAACGTACTTTCCTGTTCAAATGTCAAGAAGAAAACAAATTTCGTATTAGCTTGCCTTCAATTATAGTTGTAGCTTTCTGCTGTAGCTCAGTGACGTTTTGTTTTTTTAAAACCTATTAGTCAAATTAAGCTTAACGTTATTGTGTTAGTTGAGTGTTAATTAGACCAATTTCGACAAATGAACATTCGTACTTGGCTCCGAGGCTTGGGAAAATGAAACACGAGAACTCGCTTCCTTCAGTGGAGATTAAGGGATGAATAAAACTTTTTTTTTTTTCTGTTATTCCTCCAAGTCAAGTATGATAGAGCGGTTTTCATTTGAGTGTCGAAAAGTAATTGGTTTTGCACTTTCTACACGATGCGATTGGCTTACAAGATTCGCGCCACCTTTTCATCCAATCAGAAGTAAAACCAAAGCCAATTGTGACGCGCTCGCATGCATTTTCCCGCGCTTTGCGTCAGCCACATGTAATTACTTCGAGTTTTGATTGGTTCAATGTATTGTCTGTGTCCTATGTGATTGGCCAGAGTAATTACTTTGGTTTTGGTTTTACGACACTCAAACGAAAACCACTCTATATAATGTATCAAAATTGGTCTAACATGCCACCATGCGATTCCTTTTCGTGAGAGAAATGGCTGTCTTGTTTTCGCGAGGTGGTTAAGAACGCATCACTTTGACTGTGATTAGTGTTATCATTAATAGTTAAATAGAAAATAAGATATACGAATTGAAGCGTCAATTTCCTTTGCTACAGATTGGTTTATAAATAAATATGCAAAAAAAGTTTGTTTTCAAGTAATTTTTGTAAAATGTACGGACATTTTGGGTTGAAAGTTAATCAATTATTTATTTGTTTTATGTATTCATTTTTTTTGGTTGATCCGGGCTCAGTGTTGGTTCGACGTCGGTTAGTGGCCAGTAAACAAAGTTCGCTGGAGGCCAACTGCGTTCGCCTGACCTATTTTTTGGGGTGAATGTAAATAACGCTTCAAAATACAACCTTTGCCTCACGGCATGTTCTCCTTTTAATTTCGGATTTTTTGCCGATATATCAGAGGTCCTTTGCAGAATATTGGCCAAAAATTCATTCACTCAATTCAGCGGGTTGGACACTGTTTATGGGAAAGTTCCTCGAACGCTGGATTTTTGGGATTGGGCATCTTCAACATCAGATTCCCTACCTCGAGTGGGTGACGTTAACATCAGTTTCCCCGGAGTGGGTGTCAACATCAGATTCCCTCGGGTGGGTGATGTTAACATATCCCCAGGGTGAGTATCGTCAACATTAGATCAGTCCCAAGAGTGGAGGTTGTTAACATCGGAATCCCAGAGGTGGGGATCGCCAACAGCAGATTCCCCGGTATGGGTGTCCCCAAAATCAGATTCCTTGGGTTGGGTGTCGTCAACATTAGATTTCCTGGGGTGGATATCATCAACATCAGTGACTTGTTCTAGGGCTGCTTCAGTGTCTTACCCGTCAACTTCAAGTTCATAAACGAATAGTTAAAAAATAGTTAATAAATGTTATCTGGAACAGAAGATTCCATTCAAAATTTATTGCCTCGCTAATCAGTTATTGCAAAATCACGGAAATCAATGTAGAGCTGGATTGATTGAAAACAGGAGGCCTTGTTATTGCTCTAAATATAGGAAACAAATAATTTGTCACAGGAGCCTCCATTGTCCTCCTGTTCGTCGTCTTTGAAAAAACACTCATCTATTTTTACAACTCTACTTTTGTAATTGTCTTTATACTACTTAGCTTATTTTCATTAATGAACAATTGTCAGAAAAAGGACAAGACAAAAACTTTCGCTTTATGTCAATATTTCACAAGAACCTTTTTAAATTCTTTGGAGAAGCTACCAAAAACTAAAATTTTATGCGATCAAGCCAAATTGTGCTTTTAATTCTTGCAGTTTTCTAAAAGGAAAAGAAACATGAAAAACAATGTGAAAAAAAAACACCTAAACAAAACTATCACAATTTACCGCGGGACTGTGCTGGCCCCGCATCAATAATCCTGATGCTGACACAAAAGTCAAGTCAACTCTCACAGCGTTACAAATACGCCATGTTAACAAACTCTGCATGTTCTATAGCTATAACGTTTTTCTTGGTAGTTAACCATTGGAAAGTTGAAGGCTATCAGCCTAAACGTAAATTTTCCCTCGCCATCAAAGTATGCTTGTTTTTATTTGTTTGCCCTGTTAGTGTCTGTTTTTTTCTAGTGGAAACGATTATGAAAGATTTCAAAACACCCAACTAGACTAACAGCAACCTATATTTATAGTTTCCACTGATTACCTCGACAACTCATTGATTTCTTGGAGCCATGTCTCAAAAAGTAGATGAAAAAAATTATCGTCAGGAGCTTCAATCTGTTGTTATCTATTGCTTTCCTGAAAGTACTGTTAACAAAAAGTGTAAATGTTAAAACAATTCGAGATTTGATTACAAGCGAGAATAAAGCTCTTGTTGACACTGTACAAGAGTAGCTAGTAATAGTAGATAAATTGCTAACTACAACTATCTTTTTCCGAGTTCTGAATATAATGCGTTACCTTGTTCATAGCGTCGGTTACATGCATTAAAATTTATCGAATTTCTATGGGTCTATGAGTGCCTGCCTCTTCTGAGATTGACAGAAGAGAAACCTAGCCTCTTACGAATTTTTGAATCCTTCTTTTGTCGCTTCTTGAATTTTGTCACAAAGCTCCGACAAATGCTAGTTTATCATGACGTTATCCTACAACGGCTCAGGCATTAGTATCAGTCCCCGACTATTCTTTGGTTACATTCTCTTGCTGTGGGGCGTTTCTCTGGATTACTGTCCCAACACTCTCTCATCAGCTTGCACCAGAAGGATGGAGGCTTCTTGCAGCCCTGCCTGTCCACTGGACGGTTTCCTTTATCGACCCAATCAAAGTAATCTTGAAGTGTTGTTGCTGCAACGTTAACAAAGACTCTCTGTCCGTACCACATCTCCCACATTAACAGCCCCAGACTGTAGATGTCTGCCTTGGTGTTGTACACTTGGGAATGAAACACTTCCGGTGCCATATAAACAGGTGTTCCCACATAGGTACCAGTGATGAGAATTACTGCTTTAGCCAGGCCTACGTCTGCAATCTTCACTGTATTTTCGTCAGTCAGCTTTAATGGGTCAAGGAATATAAACTTTTAGAAGAGCGCACTAACTATACTTTTTTCTTTATTTCTCTGAGACGCCGTTTACACGCAGACTCGTACCCAGTCGCTATTTAAGTGTTTTTTGGGGTGAGAGAAGATTGGGGGGATTACCCCGTGCGCGCCTCAACCTAATCCCCAATCTTCTCTCACCCGAAAAAAACACTTAAATAGCGACTGGGTACGAGTCTGGTTTACACGCGTCCGGACAAATTTTTAAAGGACGAATTTTCACCTGTGCAACCCGTATTATAGCGGACGTTTTGTTTTAGGAGAACTTTTTTAACATTAATCGCAATACTTTGGTATTAAAATGTGAATAACACAACCTCCGAAAATCGTAGTTTAGCTATTACAAAAACTCCGAATATTTTAGACGTATGGAACGGTTATCCAGAAATCTTTAGCTTTTCTCAAGCTTTAGAAATTTCTAGGCAATATTTTCTCCTTCGAATAGTTATTTTACAGAAAAAAGTCGCTGGGTGCCCCTGAGAGAGTAAAGGAGGAAAACCTCTGTTGCTCGACCAAACGTTAAGGTCACGTTTCACACTATCACCAGCTTATGATTTGTAGCCTGTGAACAGGCTCTCTCACAGGCTAATGAGTTGCGTCTGACCTGTCGACACTTTATTTCAAACTAATAACTTTCCGTATCCAGTGGTAAGGCTTGCATAAGATCATGGATCTTTTCCTTCAATAAGGGTTTGTAAGGGCTTTTATGCAAAATTATTGCCATGCACGATGTTTCTGAGCAACATTGAATCACAGACGCCCCTTCTCCAATTTTTTTTCTGAGGGGAGGGGGCGGCTATACACAGGCCAGAAACGTATCTATGCATTTATTGTTATACGATTAGTACCAATATGTTTTCCAGCTTGAGGCCCCGGTGCGCAACGCCCTTCGCATGCATAAAAGCCAAACCATCGGTGATCTCTTTTGCACAACGGCATACGTCTTTGAAGACAGCGGGGTTTTCAGATTTGCCAGGAACTGACTCTGGACCACTAAAGATGTGGGTCTTTAAGTTTCCTTTGCACTTTTCCATGACCAAAGCCGTTTTTGAAGTTCCTTTGTCCAGTAATATGCCATAAAACTTCACAATGTGAGGGTGGTTTAGCACTCTAATTAACAGAAAAGACGAAGATTGATAATTATAAATTAATTAGTTTATTATTATTATTATTATTATTATTATTAATATTAATACCACATGTTGCCAGTTATTTGGCCCTTCGGTATATCGATTTTCCACTGTAGTTTATCATTGACGTCACTCATAACTGATGGCGGGAATATCAACAAAAATTATCCACGACTGACGTCACCTAGGATAGTGGCGCGGCAGCCGAACTGTTGCGAGAGATCACCGACAGCTGCTGTAGAAGAATCGAAAAACGAGCCGAATTACTAAACTTTCACGGACTCAAAGTGATTGCAAAAATACACAAAAATAACACTCGTCGGACAATAGATTTCAACTGTTTTTCGAGGAAAATCTGCAAGGAAACTTGAACATATTATCAATGATACTGCCGAGGAACATGCATATGACAGGCAAGTGACTGTACTAAAAAAAAAGTTTATAAGTGGTGGTATGTTCCGGACTAGTGAGTGTACAATCATTACCTCAAATTTTTTATCTCCTCCATGATTTCTTTTGCATTTGCGGCATCAAGCGCCTCATCCCACACCTTCAATGCTACTGTTGTTACCTCTCCATCTCTTCTCATTGTTCCTTGGTAAACGGCACCAAATGCTCCACGGCCAAGGCAAGAAGATGCTTCTTCTTTCCACTCCAATTCCTCGCGATCGATTTTTACAGCACAAACCTCGCTTAAGCCAAATTTTGCCAGTTGATCCCTGTGCTGTTTTGCCACATAGAACAAAGGCTGATAGCGAGCCGATTGGCGGGGGTCTTTTATCACTTTATCTTGATCTTTTTGATTCCCCTCTAAGCGATTAAAAATTTTGTCCAGTCTCTCCCTGATTTCCTCGGGGCTCTTGGAAGCGTTTACCGCAAACACTTTTGCTTGAATGAAAATCCTTGAAAAAAGTTTGTATAGCCATCTAAAACAAATAAATATTTCAATTCGTGATCCAGTCTTCTGTTGATATTAGAGAGATTTAGAGACACGTTTACGGCAAACGTGAATTTGTGCTACGAGACCCTTTTCTTGTCTTCAAGAATGACTTTGAAGTTGTTCTTTACTTACACCAAAAATAACTAGTTTCACGTTATTTTCGTCCATAAGAATTGTCTTCTGACTACTCTTTACTCGTCAATGAATATATTAACACCCGTCCATAAGTTTCACAGTGGTGATGGACAAAATTAAAACATGCACAATAATGCTTACTCCCAATGAAGTTCCAGCTTTGCTTCGATACTCTGCAAGACCAATGACCTTAGTCTTTCCATTAACGATGAAAATTCTATGGAGATAACACCAAGGCTTTGAGCACAACTAGCTTTCGTGGTTGACATGTAAATGATCTGTGAATCGGGATCAACACCAGGCCAGACCCTTTTGAGTTTCTCTATAACTTCATTCTTAACGATTGGCACATCTTTGTCCGGGACGTAGTCCCATTTGTTGCACACAAACAAAGCACACTTGGATAACAGATGTTTCTGTATGGCTAGCGATAATCCACAATCCTCTCTTCTTTCTCCTGTTACATCGATTAACACGTCCCTTGCGCTTTGGAGTAGTTTTGCAAGCTGTGAGATATCATCATTATAGTTATGAAGGAAAAGTTGACAACAAGAGGGCAATAAAATTTTTCCTGAGAGAGCTTCGTTGAAATGGGGGGAGAAGTTCAACGGAAAATTGGAATAACACTGCAAATGGAGGTCAATCTGGGCGTGGACCGTACTATGTGACGTGGCCCTTAAAAAGTACCATTCTAAAACAGTCAGCCAAATAGAAGCTATTCCGAATTAGCATAGAGTGCTCCTTTCTTTGTTTTGTTTTGTTTTTTTTCTAGAAGAGCCCTCGGGAAAAAAGTTGATGCAAAACCTTAGGCGTTCGCATTTTCTTATTTAGCCAACACCCAAGCTATATAGCTATACTAAGTAAATTACCGTAAATTCTCGAATTAGCGCCCCTCCCAAGGTTTAAAATCTGGGATAACCGCACCCCTTCAAATAAGCCCCCCCTTCCCGAGAAATAACGAGCTTCAACACTCGGTACGTTATACGAGACGTATACGGTACTTTATGAACGTGACATTCGTAATAGTACAAAATAAATGTTCTTCAAAGTCGTACGGGTCTACTTCTCATTTCCTTGATAGAAATATCCATGTGAGCACATAAGTGCTTGCTTTACATGTGACAGTTTTGGTTAACTAGAAATAAAGATAGTGTCATTTTGAGGCCAAAAATTGCTAAACGAAGTAAGCGCCTCCCTCTCGCCTTAGAAAATTAAATAAGCGCCCCGGGCGCAAATTAGAGAATTCGAATTTACGATAACTGACGTCTTTAATGAAAATGTGGTACTGCCTGCGTTTGCTTCTTTAGAAAAATCTAAATCTGTATTGTTGAATCCAAAAATGATCGTACGTTTTTTTTACTTAAATCCAAAAATGGATTTTGAACTTAAGAGGCCACCCTTCCGAATGGAATCCAGTTTTATTTTTTTCAAGTTTCATAATCCACGCGTTTTTATGGAAATTTCCTTAGGAATCGGCCGTCAGTTCTTTTCAACCAGACTAAAATTATTTCGTTTTTTCTTATAATATCCGATAGCATGAATACCCTTAACATTTGTATAAACTGTTGGAACGGACTCACATTCTGATCCAGGTACTCACTCTGTCCTTTTGAACTCCACCTGCATTTGAACCGTTAGCGACATATATAAACGCAAAGGCTTCAGGCAGATACTGAATCACCATTTCATCCATTTCGTCAGATTCTCCGACACCAGGGCCGTCAATTATCACTATTCCTTTCTATAATTCAGTAACAAAAGTTACCTGAGGATGGTATCAAGTAAAGAAATTTCCAGGATACGAGGGTACGGAACATCCTAGACCAGTTAATTAATTTTATCTTGAGAACGAGGGTATAGAACATCTTAGACCAGTTAATTAATTCTATCTTGAGAACGAGGGAAAACTCAAATAGGCCTTAGTGGGGCAAAAGCAACTGAGAGCAAGAAATCTTCTGGGCCGGGTTGTTCGAAGCTGGGTTATCGTAACCCAGGGTTAGTGCGAAATTTGAACTCAGGTATGAGGGCCCAAAGAGCAAATTCCGTTTAATTCACTTTGCCTACAATGTGATGATTGGATACTCTAAAAAGAATAGAGAAAATTATCCAAGAGAATGCTTTTGATAAATAGAAAAAGCCACCCGGGTTAAAATTTAACCCCGGGTTAGCCCTAACCAGCGTTTCAACAACTGGGCCCCGGGGGTAAGCCTGCAAGTGGGCGACTAAAAAAATCTCTCTCCGCATTCGAAACAACTAAAGATATGGCTGCGCCGCAAGTCTGCTTTTTTACAAGGTGTTCAGAATTCAGAGCATTCCATTAAAAAAATAGTATATCCCTTGAAAGTCAAAATTTTTACAAATTCTTAGCAGTTGTAGAAATTTCTAAGAAAGCCTCATGCCTTGATTGAGTTTTAGCATTTTAATAGGTGCATTGTAATAGGACAGAAGCACCATCGCGCGCGCACCAGTGAGTGATTGACAAAATCGGACGACCGCGTAGCGGGAGTCCGATTTGTTTAATCACGAGTATGATTACAGACCGAATTGGATGACATGAAGTTCTGTTACCAATTAATCATAACTTTAACAAAATTTGTGATATGATAGGCTATTTGTTAAATCAAAACACAAGAAATTCGAAATTTTGTTTTGCTAGCAGTGAAAAAAGCCATTTAAGCGCGCGCGTCATGGCGCGTACTGTCCAATTACTTAGGCATGACGCGTACTGTCCTATTAAACTGTCCATTTAAGGCTGAAATCAGGGCAGTTGATGGCCAATCAGATTTGACAATTTTGTTATAGTTATGATTACAGATAGAATTGGACTCCACTCAGTCCTATTAGATTATTATAGTCACCTGTAAAAGATCGTGAGGCCAGAAAAGTTCAACCTTTTTAAACGATGAACCTTTCTTGTGAACAAAAGTCGAGATCTGCTCACGACAACTACTTTCTTCAAAAGGTTCGTCAAGTGGGATGTGTTTAGTGGTCTCTCCTGTTTCAGGATCCTTGTCTTTAAAGTGCACCACCATTGCACGTCTCTCTCCATACTTCAGTTCACAAATGGTGGACGTTGTGACGGTGGTACAACACGGCAGAATCTCCTCTCCAAGAATAAGATTCACCAAGCTGCTTTTACCAGAGGACGTTTCACCTGCAAAAATACCAAAACGACCAGTCCGCCAGTGCGGTACCCAGTAAATTGGATGGCGTTTTATGGCACCCAAAACGGAACTATCCTATTGGAAGCATTTGCCAGAACGGCCGCCTCCCCGCCTTACCGTATTTATTCGATTAAACGCCGCTCTCGATCAAACGCCGCAGATGGAAGCAAAATTATCCATAAACGCTGTCCTCGAATAAACCGAGCACCTAATGAGATTGCGACGTTTACTCAAGGAGAATAAGAGAAACCTCGGTACAACTTGTAGCCTGTGACCGGACGTCCCCCTTCCCTCAGAAAAAATCTCCCGATTTTTTCTGAGGGATGGGGGGCGTCTGTACACAGGCTATACAACTTGGTAATTTACACCATCCAGACATCTACGATTCTATCTCAGCAAAATAAGAGAGACATTGGAACCTTTAAATTACATAATATTTTCAAACCCGTTACCGCCCTTGATTAAACGCCATCTTTGAATAAACGCCACATTGAAAACGCTAAAAATTGAATAAAGGCCGAGACGTTCAATCGAATAAATACGGTATATCCTCCCTTGGAAGAAGCGTTGAGTGACGAGACAAATGGGCTTTGAGAGAGACTTCCCCTATGCATTGTACCAGATGTTTTCAGCAGTAGGAGTCCCCATCATTATAGCAAGCAGGAGTCTCACCCTCTTAACATACCAGAAGCAGCTGAGCGTTGCAGACTTTAAAACATCAAATGCGGGTGACTTAATAGGAAGAATGTCGGTAATATTTTTTAACCTTGATTTTATTTGAGACATGAAACAACAGATCAGAGTTGAAATTTCAGTCGTTCTCAGTCGTATTGACACTCATCTAGCGTAATAGTTCCGAAACTGAAAATAATTATACCATCCTCGATACGCTTAACTTCGCAAGCAGCAGCCATACGGTCGGTCGCATATTTTGGGGATACTTACTTTCAGGGTTCGTTATTTTAGGGCTTTGGTGGTAACTTTTTGCAGCTTTTTGGACAAGATAACTAATATGATGCCAAAACAACTTAATACGTTAGTAGACAATTTATCCCCGTAAACATTTGCGCTATTCAAATGCAGATAACTTACTACTTAACGGGAAAAAATTGGGGGGAAATGTGATTTTTCTCGTAAAACATGACTGTATTCAAATTACTGTCGATGACAAGCACTGTTCTTTCAAATTAACGTTCAGTAATGTGCGGGTGCATCTACTTTTAGTGGCTTGGCTTAATTTACATATTATTTGTGATCTATATTTAGCTTTTGGCTGAGTGCAACTCAGGAAAAATCGTCATGAGATATGAAACTTATAGCTAATAAACAGAACACTGTTTTCAGGGGATGAATCATTCACCAGACACAAGAAGAAAGTACTGCGTCTGCTTCAGCTGCTTTTCGTGCCACTCCAAAATTTCTTTCACATTTTTTGTGTGCCTCTGAAGTAAAGTTAACATCGGTTCGTCCATTTTACTCAGAATGTCTTGGGCTTCGGCGTAAAAGCCAAGCAAGGCCTGTCTTTTAATGTCATCTTCTTCTTTGGCCTTCGACAAAATGGAAAAAGCCTGAAAAGAGTAAAGTAAGTATTTTCCGGCATTATCAGAGTGTTACTAGAGCCATAAAAGTACATTAAAATTTTCAAAAGGAAAGTGTGCACCAGACTGGTGTGGTGCCAGAATCGGGTGATCTTTTCCGAGAAAACTGTTTCAAAGTACTGGGAAAATTTCAGGTTAGACAACTTCACTGGAATTGAATATGGGGTTATACCGGTTGATTCGGAATAGCCGAATCACTTCAATTTCGACAGTATTGTATAAAACAATGTATCTCAATATGATCAATATGATCACTTTGAGTGGACGTGCATAAGATAGCCGAATTCACCTCAGGTGTCACCTCGCTCTGTTTGCTTTCATTATAAGGAAACTGTTCAGTTATTAGGAAAAATGCCTGGGTGTTGTATACTAAAGCCTTCTTTTCCTTTATTTTTAATTTGAAAAGTTCTTTTATATTGGAAAAATGGGACAAAGAAGTGCACACTAACTCAAGGAATCCGCTCTATTGGTGATCTTGCTCCTACCATTAACGTTTAATTGTCACGTGATCGGTGAGATGAAAGCGGAAGACTTTCGGTTTCACAATGGATAATATCATGTGAATAAGCTTCCAGTCGGAGACCAGTTCTTGCAAGAAAAATAGGATTCTTTTCTACCAAACAAATGGAATAAAATAAAAACTGTTCATAAATTTAATATTGTTTCGTCGGTGTTTAGCTAAGCTGATTGTACCTTGGAAAAGCGACTCTCGACTCAGGAAGATTGGATCTAGGTCTAGTTTCAGCAGGTTCTAATGGCATTGAACCAGAGGCCGATTTTTGCAGATAATTAAGAAAGTGATAAATTGTACACTACGTTTCATTCAGTTTGTTGTCTATTCCATGCGGAATCCTGTTGTTTATCGAACCGCTAAAAAGTAGTGTTTTGCTAACTATTTAAGTTGTTATGTAAGCCTTAACCAGGCACTCTTTCGCTACAGTTCACTCAACTCAAAAATTTCTAGACGGAAATGACACCGGTTTGAAACTTCGTGAAGTCAGTTTACTGAATAAATGTTCTAAAATTTGCGTCATTTTAAATTTGGAGTCGTTGGAATGCTTCTAGGGACCATCAAATTACTGCCCGGCGTCAGATAAAGGATTTCAGTCGGCCTTTGAATGAGTTTTATTGTTTTAAATTGCCATGTAGTAGAATGAGTTGCTATTTTTGCTAACCCGCGGGTTTTCAAAAATCCAGGTATACTTAAATATGCAAGAAAAATTATTTTCGAGGCAGCGTCTCCAGATATATGAGTTCTCCATTGGCGCTAGATGGTGAGTGGTATTGCATTAATTAATGTTTGAAGTAACTGGAGGTTATTATTGATTATGGATCCGCATTCATCACTTACGGAAAAATTACGGAAACGAAATCGACTCGAAGGGGAGTCCAGTTTCCCGGCCGAGGTGCCCCTGATAAAGTTAATAGAGGCAGCTAATTTGCAGTCGTTCCTGAAAGCTCGAAAATTTCTGCCTTAGTGCCACAGAAACACCACGTTAGGATGCGTTCTGACGAACGCGACTAGTTTTGTTCCTGGGTGATGATATTATTTAATAAAAACAATCCTTTATACGTTTCTTCGAAAAATTGTTTTTAAACAATAATATTGTAAAATTGCTCACGCCTAATTGAATCTAAAATGAAGAACAAAGCGAATTTGAATTTCTCACAGAGAAAGTCACAATCGTAAGACGCTTAATGAAACCGATAAACAACTTAGACAAAGCAAAGTTTGGTCAAAAAGAATTTAACATGAAGCACATGTTTATTCTTCAACCATTTTTCGCGCTTTTCTCTCTCCCCCTCCCCTCCCATTTTTGCGCGTGCCACGCCGAGGCTAACCTAGCAGAGTTGATAGGCCACGATGCCCAACGAAAGATGGAAAATAACAAAATATACAGCAAATTGAATTCCTTGTACCTCTTACTGTTCAAACGTAGGTGAACTGACCTTTTTTTGTATGTGTTGAGGACCTTAAAAAGATTCTTAATGACGCTGTCTATTCGCAACAAAAGATGCACACCAAAGGTGATTTTAACCAGCACCAAATATTCAAAGAACGTTAACGTGGTCCTAAAATCGAGCCTGCGGCTAGTCAGGTCGATATTCCGAGAAAGAAAATAGAGCTTTCATGGAGTGCTGTAAACGCACATATATAAATGTAATGCACAGTTCATACGTCGTGCTTTTGTCTTGCCGAACTCAGATGAGCTATTGTAATTAATTTCATGCGCTCAACAGGAGCAAGAATTAGTACGAGTTTAAAACAGACTTCGTGCCAGAGTGGAACTTAATTATGTAGGTACTAGTTTTAAGTCCGTGGTAAATGAAGCAAAAACAAAATACAATGATATTCGAAAAAACATTTCCAAACTTATGAATTTATTTAGACACGGCATAACTGAGCACGAAGTTTAAACTCTGCCATACCATGCAGATTCATATAGTACGACAGACATCGTCAAACTTAATTCACTTTGCCAAACCAAATCAACATCGAGCTTTTGCCAAACATAATTCAAGAATTAAAAGCACATGAAACGGGTGTAACCTTTAAACGAGAAAATGAAATTTCCAGCAAAACAAACAGTTTTGTGTCTTTTGGGGCCGTACATAAATGAAATAAATACTGTTATTTTACAGCCAGTTTCCTTAGGTCTTAGGCAATAACGGTTTAACGTCGCATAGCTTCCATCAAAGCAATCACGAAATGCCGCTCCTCTTGAAGGACACTCATGAACCCCGGCCAAATTCCTTACGGTTCTGAAACCTTCACTTACACTGAAATACCTTACCTCTCCTGGTGACCATGAGTTCGACGTCTTTTCGACCGCATTTAAGGCGGATCTTACTCGAGACCTCGCGTCGCTAAGGTTCTCCACCATTTCGTCTGATACACCAAGAACGTCCATCACTTTAGTCAGTTCCTTCATGTTCAATTCATCGATGCTTTTCTTTTTACCAGTGGCCATTTTGCATAACCTACTGGCCGGCGGTTTTAGCTACAAGCGAAGTTATTTTAAAAACTTTGTCAGTGCTACGCTGCTAGATTAGTATATCTCAATAAACTGTATTATTATTCATTTAAAATATTTCCCCAATTCTGATTGGCTAAAAGCACACGCATAATTCACCATAACCAGTTACTGATGACCAAATTTGGAAGAATTTTGTGTTTAACGAGGAAATGACGTCAAAAATGCAGCCTTCTACAGGTTAATGCACCGTTAACCGAGAAGACCTGGGGACGAGATTGAGTTGTTTTCGTTCTAAAAAGTAAAATGGCGGACACTTCACTCGTTTCAAGAGTAAGATAAACAGCTGGGACTAGGCGAAATAATGGCGAAAAACATAGCAAAAAAAGCAAGAAGACAACTCGGAGGGCCACATCTGCTATTGGAGAATATTTGCGGAGCTGGACAAACCGACCTAAACGTAAGCTATCGAAGAAAAACTTAACATCGATGCAGGTAAGCTTGTTTTAGTTACATTTTAAACTAAGTGAGGAAGACTCTCGATGAGGGAACATATTACAATTTTGTGCCCCAAATGGCGCGCCGTTTGTTTCAAAATCATTTGTTAACGTGATGTTTAATATGGCGCAACATGTCCTATGAAATGTTACTGTCAAAGAATCCAACAATTATTGTTATTTTTCACCTTGATATCGTTTTACTGCCGTGATGTGACCTTTTCTACCTTGACATCATTTTACTACCGTGATATGCCCCCCCTCCTAGAATCACGCGACATGTCCGGGAACTTTAAGTGCACTCCGAGCGCCAAATTTGAAACGATGATCAGCGAGCCGAGGCCAAAACAAAGAAAAAACGGCTAAAACTGTTCAGAGTGGCTCACGTTTTACACTTTTTCGGCTAAACTATATAAAAATTATTAGTGTCAGCATATGATTTTGAAGAAGAGACGTTAATAAAAAATAAAAGACCACTGGTGACTTTGTAGACCTTGTAGAAGTTCTGGCTTTTTCGCTTTGAAAATCGGCTACTTTAGTCACTATTTTGTATGGGAGGTCACGTTTGAGACTAAATATCTGTTCGGCAAGTCACTTTGTTCATGCGTCAGCATATGGCTATGTTAGTTTGACCACTAAGGAAGACTCTCTGAAAGTTTGGTGCGATTACGTTGTTGGGAAGTTCTGGCTTTTCGTCGATTTCTAACAGTAGTCCTGCTTGCTTACGTTCGTAAATTCCGAGGACACGCGCGGCTTAGTTTGAAACTCCCGCCTGCATATTAATGAATTGAAACGGATCAAAATTTGAATAATTATCTCAGACAATGTTCCCTCAAGCATTAAGAAAGACGCGGCGCTAGCTTTTTAAATGTTAACCGACTCGTTGATGTTCAAATGAAATGTCATATACCAAGAGAGAATAATATTCTTTCTAGCATTTACTTCACCTCCTTCGTCTTACAAACTGAGAAAAACTCTTTATTATTTTTAACTCCGCGACCAACGCAAAGGAAACCGATCGAGTAAAAGAGTGCGTCTTTTATATGAGCTGCTTTGACCGGTTTACGAAACTGAAAGGCCACGATGAAATAGAGGTAAGTGTTCCGCTCATTTCTTTTGCCATTTGACAAATATTTGTCTGGCCGTCGCACGCAGTCATGCAGATCTAATACACTTTACGCATTAAACCGGTACGGTGATTAGCTACCGATTCTTTTACGAGAGTAGTCGGTATTTAGCTGGCTTTCCGAAAGCTTATTTATTCAGTTATTATGCCGCACATTGAGAAACTGCGCACTGTAAGTACCTGTCGCAATTCTGGGCGATGTGACATTTTCTTCCTAGATATCATTTTACTACCGTGATGTAACATTTTCTACCTTAAATAGTTATGTCGCCTGGCCTTTATTATTTGCATGGGAGAAAAATAAAACACATCACCTAGTTTTTATTTGACGGCGTCGCATACAGGAAAGGAATAATGCCTCAGCTGAGAAATGTTTTACGTTTAGAAAAATATAAGGTTTACGGTCATACCCTTTTTGCTTGAAAAACGTCAGTCTCTTTAGAACATTTATCTTTAAGGAGGGCTTTCATATCCTTGAACGTTTTACATACCTTCCTCCTAATTCCAAACTCATACATGCGTTCAGGCATTTCCCCCTTGTCGTCTATGTCGTCAATGGTTTTCCTGTGAACAGAATTTGGCACTGTGCTCCAGATAGTTGATTCTAGAGAGGAGAAATAATGCACATCAGGCTACATGAGACACAAAGTGCTAAAAACAACATCGTAACATAAAAGCAATAATAATTATGGACTGTGTATTATTAAGTTGAAGAGCGGCACACCTGGATAATGTCAACAAGTTGCATGTTTGCTCTCATCTGAATAACTTTGTACGGGGAATAATTTGTAAGTTAAAAATAATGAATACCTGGGAAATCAGCAACTTAAGCAAGTGAGCAGAAGCGTGCAGAAAAAAAGATATGAGGGGCACCACGGTTTAGTCATTGAATTGATTAAATGGTACTGAAGAATTGGTAAAAACAGAAAAAAAAACACAGTCCTGTCATGGCATGGGTAAGTAGGTAAGTGTGATATGGCGCGAGCTGTTAGAACATACTTGCATGGCGTATTGTTATATTTGACAGTCATTATTACTTATACTTGGGCTCTAAACAATAGCTCGCGGGCCTTTCTATCAGACTTTTTTAATTTCGTAGGGATAGTGGTTCTTGTCCATAAATTTTATGTTGCTAAGGAAAGATTAATCTAATTTATTATTCCACTATTACGCCATTTTACCATATAAGGTCAAGAGAACGCGCAAAATACGGGGCCGTAATACACCATTGTCCTTAAACGGTTTAACCGGTTTACAACAGGGCGAATACCGCGGCGGATGCAGAAGGGGCTCGCTAAGATAAGCAATTTTCAAGCTTGAAAAGGGGAAGAATACCAGTATCTTAGGGAGTCAGGGTAAGTTATGCAAAAAATAAACCATAAAGGCAAAATTAAAAGAACTTAATTTTGAATTCTGGAAATTTATCTCTATCATTATAGGATAACGATAGTTTTAGTAAAAACGACTGTGTGCTGAGCGTGTAAACAAAGAAAAGAGAAAGATGCAGCAACGAAAAAACGTTGGCAGATTGAAAGGCAAACCATTACATCGTCAGTTCTTGAGGCACATGAAAGATGTGAAAACTTAGATGTAGGACCTGGATGTGGTCGAAGAAGGAAGATTTAAAAAAAGGAAAGATAGACTAATGTAGACTTAACCGTGCAACACCGGTCCCTCAAACTAAGGCTGTGAGGGCCAACAATGTACTAACAATAAATTTAACAGTCAGTCACATCATCTGTGATTGGAGTAACTAAGTTAGCTCAGATCGCCGAATATGATAACGCAGCTAAGATTATCCACGGGGTCGAACTAGAACGAGAGCAGATGGGATTCTAAAGATTAATATGGTACGAGGACACACCAGATAGGGTGATTATTCCTGACACAGTGATTTTCCAGTATATGTTGAGGTATGTTTGGGTAAGGCAAGGAAATTCAATAGACAAGAAGCTTTTACACATATAAGTTCCAACCAAATACCTGCGTTTACTTACTTTAAAATATCTGTTTTAAAATCGTATATAAGCAAGTTGCTCTTGACTACTTAAAGGGCAAACCTACAGTATTTGTTGCTGATTTAGCTTAAGGCTTCCAATCAAAATATGATGATGTTAAACTCACCTATTTTTTCCATGAGAGTCTTTTTACAAATGAAGTAGTTTTCTTCTTCTATAGTTATCGTCAACCTAAAATTCTCTAAGTTAAGTTTTCTCTTGAGTTCACTAGTCACCAGGAATCTCTCGGCGATGTCATTAAGGCAACCGGAGCGATAGTCATTCCACAGCCTATCAAGACTTTCTAAGGTGAAGCACTGAACGGTGACAATCAAAGACCCCGATTCCACGGCCTTTACGGCTAAATTGTAAGTTGTCGTTATATGCTCAATGAAAGCACCAACACTTCCAGGTGTTGAAAGATCGTGGTATGTTGTGTACGCCTGTATCTGACTTTTCAAGGTTCCATCAACGAATTCTTGCTGCTTGACATCTAAATCTTGGGCAGTTATCACAAGTCTTAAGGAGGTGCTGACAAATCCTGGAAATCAAGAGAAGGACATTTTTGGCTGTTTACTTATCCGAACAGACTAAACGCTAACCATTTGTAAACAAGACGCTGTGGGAGCATATATTTGGGCGTCGTTTTACTGGGCGTATGTGAAGTTTTTTAAGTATATTAGGGAGGTTTGACTAGTGTAGTAGCGTTGTATATTTTACGGTTTGGTTGAGTATAGTATAGTAACGCGTATAGTAACAGTCTGTTGAAATTAGATGGTGGTTGTGAAAGATCTTATCAATAGTCGAAAGCATACTTGTACTTATTTTAAATGTAGCCTGCGTAGCAAGCGTTTCCGTTTAGTTTCGGAGCAAAGAAATACCGAGGAAGGGGACTTTCGGTTTTGACCGCGCGAGAAATGAAACGAGAGCCAAAAAGTGAAAGAGGGGGGAGGGGGAGGGGAAGGAAGGAAACGCTTGCAGACAAACCCCTCGATTTTGAAAACCTGCGTTCGCCAGCGAACGCAGCGCCTGATTGGCTCGGCTAGTCGAACAATGTTGACATGTGTCGATCAAAGGTTTGTTTCATACTGAGAGGTCATGTTTGGTACGTGACACGCATATTAATTTTCTGTGGTTATTGTTTATTCTGGTCGGCAAGA